GTGGGAAGCCGGAGTACAATTTGTAGGAATTGGTTCTCTCCTTTTCCCATGTGGGGACCTGGAATCAGTTGTCAGGCTTAGTAGCAGGTGCCTTTACCCACTGAAATATCTCAGCAGCCCCAAAAGTAGATGCTATAGGTTATAAACATTTCTTTTCCTCCTCCTTTCTTCCCCCCTCCCCCCTCCCCATCCCCCATCTCACATAGGGTCTCACTGTGTAGCCCTGGCTGGGCTGGAACTCAAAGATTTACTCACCTTTGCTTCCCAAGTGCTGGGATCAAAGGCATGCATCACTGCTGGGCGCACACCTTTAACCTATCACTCAGAAAGCAAAGGCAGAAGGATCTCTGAGTTATAGAGCTAGTTCCAGGACAGCCAGAGTTACACAGAGAAACCCTGTCAAAAAAAAAAACAAGAAGACATGCACCACCACCATGTCTGGGTATAGACACGTCCTTTTAAGATGGCTGCCTTGATCAGTCCTCCTCCTTATGTTTTTGATGGATACTTTGTCACTGTTTTCATGTTCTTGCTAGCTTTACTTCTTTCTGCCTTTTGTTAAGCGACTGTGGCTATTTCCATCACGTGGTAGAGTTTCTGAAGCTGAACTTCCACCGGAAGTTTGGGCGGAATGGGGCAGCGTGAGCTGGCTGTGGGCTGCCACCTAGCCACAGCTGTAAGAAGCTTCCTCCACCAGGAAATCTAACCAGTGCTCCTGAAGAAGCTGAGGCGTGCGTACTGTGCCCACAGCACAGCCCTGAGGGTTTGTCAGTGCGGAATCAGGGCTGCTGATAAAGACGGACTACAACAGCTGTGGTGGTTAGCCCTGGTGGCACTATTAGTGTACTGTACATTGTGAACTCACACAACACTGCTAGTCATGTCATGAACTCACAGTGGCATTTACGACTCCACTTACACTGTGAGGTCTCCTTTACATTATGATGGACACTTGAAAAATGTGTGCACTCAGTTGTCCTCATCTCCGTGTCTTTTCATCTCTTGTCAATTTTTTTCTGCTTCTCTTAGTCTTACTCTTTCTCTTTATCTAGTTTTCTTTCTGTCCAAAACCTATTTGCATAACAGCATGCAAAAAATCCTTTGTTACTATACATTTTTTTTTTGTTTTTTGTTTTTGTTTTTGTTTTTCAAGACAGGGTTTCTCTGTAGCTTTGGAGCCTGTCCTGGACTAGCTCTGTAGTCCAGGCTGGCCTCAAACTCACAGAGATCCGCCTGCCTCTGCCTCCTGAGTGCTGGGATTACAGGTGTGCGCCGCCACCGCGCAGATGTTTTTGTTTTTGTTTTTTTTAAAGATTTATTTATTTATTATGTATACAGAGGAGGGCGCCAGATCTCATTACAGATGGTTGTGAGCCACCATGTGGTTGCTGGGAATTGAACTCAGGACCTCTGGAAGAGCAGTCGGTGCTCTTAACCTCTGAGCCATCTCTCCAGCCCTTGTTTTTGTTTTTTTAAAAAACAGCATGGTTTTTAGAAGGAACAAATTTAAAATCTCAACATTCAATGTTTCCAAAGTGTTAGGAGATGTTAAACGAAGTATATGATGATTGTGATGATGATGATTATGTTATTATTATTACTTTTTGATTTTTCGAGACAGGGTTTCTCTGTATATCCCTTGTTGTCCTGGAACTTGATCTGTAGACCAGGCTGGCCTCACAGTCAGAGATCTGCCTGCCTCTGCCTCTTGAATGCTGTGTTTAAAGGCATGCTCATCTGGCTCAGTGTTATTCTTGATAATGCCTATACTTTGTGACTATTTCTTGAATAAACCAATTAATTACTGCCCCAATGTAACCTGGTTTGAAAGTTATAGAGCTAGGTCACATAAAGGCCCTTTCCAACAGGAGTTTTATCTTTATTTGTTTGCCTTTGTGTAGGTTTGCCTCAGTGACATGAGGATGCACATAAGGACTTGTGAGAAGTACATCGATAAATATGGGCCACTGCAAGAGCTTGGCGAGACGACAACAACAAGGTTTGTTTGAATACGGTGTAATGTCATGCTAAATTCAGTATGTCTATGAAGAATTTAAGCTTAGCACTTGGGAAGCTGAGGCAGGAGGATACTTATGAGTCTGAGGCCATCCTGGGCTACACATGAAAGTACACTCAAAATTGAACATCTCTTTTTGAAAAAGACTTTTGATTTTTATTTTGTGTGTCTTGCATTGTCTGTGCACCATGTGTATGCAGTGCCCACAGAGGTCAGAAAGTGTCAGATAACCACCATGTGGGTATTGGATTTGGACCCAGTTCCTTGGTAAGAACAGCCAGTGCTCTTAAGTGCTGAGCTATCTCTCCAGCCCCAAACATCTCTCTCTCTTTTTTTTAATGGTGGGTGTATGTATGTGTGCCCAAGTGTATGTCTGCACCAAGTGGATGTAGGAGCCTGCAGAGGTGGGAAATTGTGTTGGACCTCCCACTGGGGTTATGCAGAGTGGTGAGCCCCCGTGTAGGTGCTGAGAACTGGACCTGAGTCCTCTGCAAGAGCAGCAAGTACTTTTAACCACCAAGCCATCTCTCCAGCCTCAAAGTCTAAGGCTCAGTCTGTTCTTTTTATTTTACTTGAAATTGCCTTGCTAATGTACCTGTTATTGCAGGATTTGTTTTATAAATGATGCCATAAATTTTAAATGAACATTTTTGCTACAAGTAAGCAGAGTGCAGATTCTGCTAGATTGACCAATAGGGAGGAAGGAAGAAAGACTAAAAAATAGATGGAAAAAATATGGCTTTGACTGCAAGTTGATGGAGTTTATGAAATATTTAAAATATATAGAAACTAACTTAACCTCTAATTTCTTTTGCTGGTTAAAAGGATAGTGAAGACTGGCAGCCAAGCTTGGTGGCACAGACCTTGGTCTCCAGTACTCAGGAGACCAAGGCAGAAGGATCACCAATGCAGAGCTAGCCTATGCTACCTAGCAACTTTGAGGACAGCTTGAACCATGCCGTGAGAGTAAAACAAACAAACACCCAGCCCAGTATGGCGACAAATACCTGTACCCACAGCATTCGAGGAAGCTGAGGCAGATGGATTGCTGTGAGCTTGAGGGAAGAAAGCCTGAGCTACATAGCAAGACTCTTGTCTCTAAACAAACAAACCAGAAAAGCAAGCCAGGTGTGGTGGTGCATACCTGTAACCCCAGAACTTGGGGGCTAGAAGTAGGAGGACCAAGGTAAGCCTGGGTTACCTAGGGAGACCCTACCCCCCTCACAAGAAAAGATACTAACCCAGCTGTAGTCTGTACAATCTATGTTTTTAAGTTTCTAATCAGGTGTCTAATAAAATAGCTGACCACTATTTTAGTGATTGTGATTCTGTGCTATTTCCAGATGTGTATGTCCATTTTGTCAGAGGGAACTGGATGAAGACTGCTTGCTGGATCATTGTATTACCCACCACAGATCAGAAAGGAGGCCTGTGGTAATGATTCTTACCTGCTAGCTGTCTGTCAGTCTGTCTGTCTGTGTATAGTGTCTGAATTTAAGCTCTGTTAGACTCTGGGCCTGGTGGCTTGTGCCTGTCATCTCAGTACTTGGGAGGTAAGGAAGGACAGATGCTGCAGGTTTGAGGCTAGCCTGGGCTACATAGGGAGTTCCATGCCAGCACTTACTTATTTTCTGATTTTAAAGTTACTACACTTATTTATCTGTGTGTTCACACAAAGTTCACATGTGGAGATGGGAGAACTTTGGGGAGTCTTTTGGGAGAGAACTTTCAGCACACTGAGTATTTCACCAATCCTAAGAAACTCTATTTAATATTGTGTTTCTGGGCATGATGGTACATACCTTTGGTAGGCAGAAGCAGGTGGATCTTTGTGAGTTCAAGACAAGTCTGGTCTACGTAGTGAGTTCTAGGCTAGGCAGGTCTACAAGAGTGAAATCCTGTAAAATATTTTTTACTTCTTATTTATTTAGTGTGCATTGGTGTTTTGTCCACATGTGTATCTATGTGAGGATGTCAGTCTTTTGTCTTGGAGTTACAGACAGTTATGAGCTGTCATGCGGGTGCTGGGAATTGAACACGGGTCCGTTGGAAGAACAGCCAGTGCTCTTAACCACTGAGCCATTTTTCTACCCCCCCCCCCACTTCTTTTTACTTCTTAAGAAAAAGATATTCAGCTGAAAAGATAAATGCATAGGATCTCACCATGCAGCTCAGCTGACCTGAACTTTCTGTGTTGACCTGACTGGCCTTGAACTCACAGAGATCTTCCTGGCTATAAATATAATTTTTACTATTGAGATATATGAAGCCAAGTGTAGTAGTAGACAGGTGTTTAAGGCCAGCCTTGGCCACAGTGGATTCGAAGCTAGCCTGAGCTACATGAGAAACAAAACAAAACAGTGCTAGGAAGATGGCTTCGTCAATAAAGTGCCCGCACACAAGCAGGAGGACCTGAGTTCTGATCCCCAGTGCGCCCCTAAGACCTGAGTGGGATGGTGCGGTGCCCATCTGGAAGCCCAGGACTAGGAGTACAGAGGCGGATCCTGGAGCTTGCTGGCCAGCCAGCTCGCCTAGCCTAATCGCTTAGCTCCAGATTCAATGAGAAGCTGTCTCAAAAAATAAAGTAGGAGGGGGCTGAAGAGATGGCTCAGTGTTTAAGATTGCCGCTCTTGCAATGGACCCGGGTTCAGGTCCAGCAATCTAGAACTTCAGTTGCAGGATATCTGATGCTCTCTTCTGGGTTCTGTGGGCACCAGGCATGGATGTGGTACATATATCATATGCAGGCAAACACTCACACATGTAGAAGTTAATAAGTCATTTGTTAAAATCCTTAAAAACTGTATGGCAACTTAAATACATAAAGTAGAAATGAAAAATAAAAGTAAATTAAGAACACGAGGTGGAGAACAATTGAGGAAAACACCTGACATTGACCTCTGACCTTCACATGAACATGCACAGGCATGACGCTGTACATACACA